GGTTGTTTGATTTTTTTTTTCTTGCTGTTTTGCTTGAGTTCTTTGTAGATTCTGGTTATTAGTCCTTTATCGGACGTATAGCTTGCAAATATTTTCTCCCATTTGGTAGGTTGTTGGGATCCATATCTCTAACCACTCACAAAAATTAATTCAAGATGGATAAAGGACTTAAATGTAAGGCATGAAACCATAAGAATTCTAGAAGAAAATGTTGGAAAAACTCTTCTAGGTATCGGCTTAGGCGAAGGATTGATGAAGAAGACCCCGATGGCAATTATAGCAACAACAAAACTAAATAAATGAGACTTGATTAAATTAAAAAGCTTCTGCACAGCCAAGGTCTTGCCTTTCTTAATAACTCTTCCCATCCCAAGCTTTCTGATTTCCAACAGCTCTGCCACCACCTGGGGGTCCTCCTGTACTGGAATGTGTTGCTGTTCTCCCTGTTTTAGTTGGACTTGCCAGTTCCCTTATTTATTGCCCCTTCCTCTTTCTTCCGCAAGGGTTATTTTCCACCAGGCTCCTATAATGAGGACCCACTTGGCAGTGGGTCTGCCACCACACAGCTGGGTCAAATCTTGCATCGGAGCCCTGGAGTTGTATCCGACACAACAATTCATTTTTCTAGGCTTAGTAAGGGTCATGATGACTTTGGTGGGAGTGAAAATGGAGTCTCTTAATAACTATGACATTTGTATTCATGTGTCCAAATGCTTGAGTTGTTTAAAATTCTGTGAGTTAAAGCTGTGCTTGAATTGCATCAATTATTTATGATATGCTTATGTCATCTCTAAAGCTGACTTTTCCTTTCTCAGTTGTTTTGGCAAAAAGGAGTGTTTCTATAAGAGAAGCAGACCAAGGGCACGAGAGTAAAGACCTGCGGTTACTATTTTGATGAAATGCACTGGAGTGTAGACAACTATAGGCAACACCACTTAGGGCATATCTGCTCCCCCCGAAGAACCATACCCTGCACAAGTGTGTTTTTTTCTATAACCCTACAGACTCAGTTGGGGACATAATGTCCTCTTATTAAATTTAAGGCAACCTCCAGAAGTTCCTCTGTTGTGTGTTTCTGTCTCCTGAAAGTATTTTGTAAGATGTTGAACAATTGATTTCCCTTCTCTTTGTGGTTCTTTTAGTTTCTTTGTCATAGTCTTAGACATCAGGTTCTGAGATCTGTGGGAATTTATGTTACAAAGCATTTAATACAAATTCTGAAACATTATGCTTTTGTTCCTCTTTTTATTTCAGCTGCAGCTAGTAATACCATGTAGGTGCCCTGAGGATCCCCTTGTGGGATGGTAATTAGATGATGCTTCCAGATGCATAATCTGGAAACTTGGTTTCTGGTGGCATCATGGGTGAGAGAACACGTTCATGCCTGATTTGTCCCAACTGTGACTACAATCCGAGTCTCGTGGTTTCTGTTCATCTCTGGTGGCTGTGGCTCTGACTCACAGTACTTCTGACTTGCCTGTGAACACTAAGCTGCTTAGGAAGAGCTGACAGTGAAAGCAAGACTATTGTGGGGGTGTGTTTGCATTAGCCATGGAGTGAGGGAAAAATAGGTTTAGCACCTGTTTGGCTGCCTTCTTGGAGAGACCAAAGTTTTCTGAAATAATATTGTATGTGCATGCATTGATTTCTGCAGATAGGACAAGTCTGAGATAGGAAAAAAGTGACACATATTCAAATATAAAAAATAAACTGATGTTGAGGATCATTTAATAATAATTAATTGGATCATTTATCCTTTTAAGATGATAGATTCCCTCCGCTTTCCTTGTACTTATGTTATGTTTGCAGCTAATGCAGATTTTTCTTTTTACAGGCTAAACATATTTTTGACTGGCATGAACCCGTTCTACTTCCATGCAGTAAATGTAATTTTACACTGCTTAGTGACTCTTGTGCTGATGTACACCTGTGATAAAACTGTCTTCAAGAATCGTGGACTCGCTTTTGTTACGGCGTTGCTTTTTGCTGTGCATCCTATTCACACAGAGGCGGTGAGTATAATTGGACCTCAGTGAAATAACAACACTATATATATGTGTACATATAAACTAAACCGATCTTTTCCCCCTTTTAAAACCACGTGAATTCAAAGCTCTACTACATTGTTTATATATAAACCATTGTACTTGACAACTTTTCTTTTTGAATGTTCAAATTGGCTTTATTGTACCTCCTGGGTTTAACCGCTTTTCTAAATAAGTGCTGTTATTATTACAGGTAGTAATGAATGGCCACAGTTTTTTATTTGTGAAAAATTTAAGTCCTAATGTGTTTCCAGCAGCAAGGACCATTTTGAGACACTTGGCATGCTGAGTCATTGTTCCTGCCCTACATGTGTATTGTACCTTTTCTCACTCTGCTTAGTACTCATAATGTTTATAATACAGAATTGCAAGTGCTGGGAGAGGACCATAAAAAGTTAGACTGACATTCTTCAAGTTAGAAAGACAGACTTAGGAGCCTTCTGCGTTGTTTCCTGAGTTATTTAATAAGAAATATAGTTATTTTGTGGGTGATGAGAAAGTTATTTAGAAAGTACTGGTAGTTTGGATCTATCGCCCTCTGTAAAATATTTATTTAATCATGCCGTGGGTGAGATGGCATTATTAAGCTACCTTGTTTCACATCTTAGTAAGCATAGCTAGTTTATTTTATGTGCGTTGTTCTGGGTAGAAGAAGACTGTTGAAGGCGTACGTGGGCACCACAGTTTTAAAAGAATCTTTTCCAGAGCTCTAGCTTGCTTGCATCTCTCTGTGTACTTTCCTGAGACCTGCCTGAGAACACACCTGCAGTAAAGGTGTCACCTTGAGTCTTTTTTCCCTTTTCCCTTTCTCAGTTGCTCTTCTCTTATTTTGATGAAAATAACAAATACCTCCTATACCTCAGAATCTTACTATGCCCCACATGGACAAACCTCGGAGGCACCTTACAAAGGATCAATTTGATATGTTGGTGTCAACAAGGTGTCCTTTATTTAAGGCATTATAAACTCAAAGTAGGGCTTTGTATCTTTCCATGTCTTATACATATTTCTGTGAAGAATACAACATGGTGTTAGAAATAAGGTTTGCTGGCCTGTGTTGCTGTTCTAAATTCAGAAGGGAAATAGTTGTCATGGGGATGCATAATAATATGTTTATTTGAACCCACACGAGAAGTCTGATTTGACTAATTGGTTTGATGATGAGGACTGGTTTGCCAGTTAGGCTATATGATGGACATTTTCCACAAACAAAATTCTAAATCTATAAGCCCAAGTTTTGGCAAACATGTTTAGATTGAATGATAAAGAAAAAAATCGCTTTGTAAAAAAATTACATTG